AATACCAACGCTTATTCCATGAAAATAGCCAAACTATACACAACGTAAAGAGCCCTTACTTCATCTCGTCCTGTCTAACCTGATTGTACCACAGCAGCAGTTGTGAGTTACTGATTGTTGCACAATGCCTATTGCCACTTGCTACTTGCCACATTGCCACTTCTATTGCCACAATGCCACTTACCACACTATATGCACATAACCAACTTAACCTAACTTAGAGTAGCCCATACGTTGTACATCATCTCAACTCACATATTTGTTGACAGCAGCACTTGTAATAAAGCATGATATGGCTAATTTTTGGCTGGTTTCAACTTGCATTTTTATTCAGTTCACTTGTGTATGCTTGTTGACATCAGACAAAGTTGACAACACACACATCAAAATACTTTAAATCACTTTGAACAACTTATTTTGATTGCCATGGTCAACCTACGCCAAGGGCAATAATGGGTATGCTCCAGAAAACAACCTCTCTTCCCCAAAAGTAACATAACCTTTAGATGACCATGCCAGCATTGCTGCTTACCTTTTTAGCTGCAGCAAAGGCATCTATTTAGGTTTGTTTATTCATATTTAATGACAAAGTTTGACATGTTAGCTTCACATTTTAAATGGAATGGTCTGACTGTTAGATACCAGTATTTAACTCATGTTATAATTGCTATGCAGCTTAGAGTGTCCCTGTGTTAAAAATATGTTCCATATATACAGTACAGTCACTTGCCAGCCAGCAAACCATGACGACTGTTTGGGGCAAATAATCAAGAGTATGGAACAAAATAAGCCCATTGCATGCCCTGTGGCATCATAATTTGTCTTATAACAAGACTCGATTGATTGAAACAGAAAATGGCTAACTCTGGATACCAATCATGTGTTGAAAGCAGTTAAGGTAAGCAATTACTTGGTTCACAGGACGCTTACCGGCTTCTTCCTGCTCCCCCAAAACAAAAAGTCAGTACCTTTTGCATGGTCTGCTGGCAGACATTCATCCCACTCACCCTCCAAATGTAAATATCAATCATGCCCACCAACGTACGAGATTAAAATGCGAAGCAAGTGAGAGGTGTGCATGATAAACATCTCCAGAGGGCAGAATTTCGCCATCAAACACTTCCATATTAGCTGCGTCAGGCCTCTACCAAACCTCTGTATGACAGCGTTAGGATGGCCTTGTCAGATAACCTGGCGAGTCAGACAATCGAAAGGGTTAGATTTATCATTATTGAGCACCGCCATGAACCAAGAAAACGGTTAAACGAGGGTTTAACGGGGCAAAAATGGCGGTAAAAGTAAGTTCCGTGCTTCAAATTGTCTCCTCATTCCCTGTGAATTGTTCACGCTTGGGTGCATATCAAACAAGTTTGGGCGGCTGGCAAATTAATCCAATTTATGTATGAAATGCGCACAAGTTTGCAGTTGAAGAATCTTACAGGGAAAGTGGCCAAAATTTTAAGCAACCTTGCTCTGTGCATACATAGACAGGACTCAGATGTAGGTGAGGCGGGACGTAGCCATAGGTGCCCAGGTTCTGTGGAGTCTCGTTTATACCTGACGGTTTCAAGTGAGCTCGGTTTCGGATGGCATCTGAAAACCTCAAAAAGGGAAATAGGGGTTTGGCATGTGCGATTAGACAATGTCAGGCGGGAGTGAAAAATTCGTATGAAATATGGGGAAAAGGAGTGAAAAATTCCTCCTCATAGGGTGTTGCATTACACCCAAAGTAAGCAATTCTAGGACACTGGATCTCACCTCCGGCCATCGCGGCGGGTGCATGGATTTACGCTTTGCCTAATAGCTCGAAAAGGAGTGCCACGGCGCACACTCTTGATCCCGGATATTGAAAGAGAAATGTTGAAACCTAATTTCTATACACTTTTTGTGCGCAGATCTGGTCAAGATTTAGAAAGCTGCGGGCCTGAAATGGAGCATTTATCATGGGAACCCTACGCCTAGGTGTGAAATGTGCGCCGTTGCTGCCATATTCTATACTAGACTTTGCCCCCCCCCCCCCCCCCGGTAACTTGCTGTATGAGTCCAAGTATATCAGAGGTATCATTAAGGCTAGTTCTTCTCTGGAAAGCTGATGATAGCTATAGCACTAAACTTTTTTTTTGCTTAGATATGCCAGGGGCCTGCAATGAGATTGTCAGAGATAATAGCTGGCTAAGAGGGAGGCATGGGAAAAAGGGGGGTTTGCAGTCCTCGCAGCGAGAAGAACTGTCAGAAGACTGTGTTGCTGTGAATATATATTGGACAAGGATTAATGCCCCAAGCCACCAATAGTGAGAACTGTGCGTGCTGTGTAGAAAAGAGATGCAGTGACCATGCCTTTTATTTACGCCCCATTGTTGATGTTTTGAATAAGGACATTGTAGGGCTGCTCGTGGTATTGAGGATGTCATGCTAGTGTGTTAGCATAAGTTACAAACATAATGTGACCTTATCTAGTTACCTAAATTAATAAGTATTACCAATTGCAATTGCATTTCTTACAAATTTCACGAACAAACGCAGCAAAAATCCAATGCACTCGGCCCCCGTCTCAGAGCAGGTTCCTTCGCTGCGTGCAGGTTTGTGCTGCGCGCCACTTAACCCCTCAAGCCAAGGCTACTTAATTTGGAAGGGAAATTCTCACAAGTTGTGTGTTGGGTGGAAATACTTCCTGACTACGTCGCTGGGAGGTCATGTACGACATACGATACGCGTATGAGACGGGAGGACTTTGCTGTCTATTTCATAAAGCCTCATCAAAAGTATGCGTAGAGCAGTTCAAGTAATAGTGAATGATCGTCAAGTATGGATTACTTCATGGTTGTGACGATTGACGATGAAAAATATGATCATTCCATTGGTTTTATGGGAAGCAGACAATCTTTCATTGACTTTAGGGTAGGATCAAGGAACGTAGGATGTCAGTACCAGCCACTTTCCTCCAGTTTCTAGCTGAGATCTGTCAAACCTTAGTTCTGGATGAGCGATATAGTGTTTGCCGCTTAGCAATTACGACACTAAACTGTGCTGGATTTTCAAAAGCTTTGTAACTGTTGCTGCATGCGGTTGTTTTTAGCACTCCGGAATGGTCTGTTCATCGGCATAGGGTGCGCTGTGATGATGCTACCATTTTTGCATTACCATGCATTACTACCTCATGCTACCATTTTCATTTGAGCCGTGTGACTCACTAGCATAACATTGTCAGGAAAGACTGATTCACGATTCAGGTCATGGAATTTATGAAGAATGTGATTCAGCTCATGACTCAAAGTGTCTTTGGGTGCCAAAGTGCGTTAAAGTGCCTTATTTTCAACTTGATCTCATTAGTGCTAATTGGAGTATGGTGTTTTCGCTTCGCTGAGACCTTTGAGTGCTAGGTGAACTTTGATTGCGAATCTTTAGGTGCAGAGTATTGATGTGCCAGTGCCCTTCCATTTTATACACCATTGAAATTTCCCTATCACTATGCCAATACTGTCTTGAGAATTTAGCGAAAGCAGCGAAATGAAAAGCAGATTAGCGAAAGCAGATTTCATGTCAGGCGTCTCTTCTAGCTATATGCTACAGCGTCCTCCCATGTACACCAGCCTAATAATGTAGCTAGTCAGTTGATAGCAGCTGACTCTTGCAGCCATTCACAATGTTTGAAACTGGTCTCCTGATCGCTGGTTTTTGCAACCACTCAGAAAGTTTTATGGATCTTGTTAAAAGAGGAACATTAGATATATTGAGCTGTGCCAGACTTGTGCATTTATGGCAAAGGCAAAAACTTGAATACAGAATGATCGGGTTTTATCAACATATTTTGGCGAAGCCCATCTTGCGTATGCATTTTGGCCGAGCATATTTTGGACGCGACCGGGTTGGGTTAAAAAATTAAGAAAAACTGAATTGGCGGATGGGTTGACTTCTGGACAGGCAGGTCATAAAACCGAGTCCGTGACGTGCTGCCGTGTGGAGAATTTACTTGATTATGTGTGGTAAAGCCATACAAATAACTTCTGCCGCTAAACAACAGTTAGAAAGCGTAACCATTACGTAAAATGCAAAGATTTCCAGCTTTAAAAATGCTCTAAAGAAAAAGACGCAAAAGTGTCCCTCCAAAGGACTAACGGCTAGCTCCAAATTTACTTGAGGAACTTAAATAGTTAATGTGGTGTTTTAATGATAACGCGCCCAATTATTTCACGACACATTTTATGTGTTTTCACGACCCGGACTACTGACTATCACAAGGAATTCGTTCGGCTACGTTTTGGGTTTACGTTTACGACGTGTAAACACCACCTGCCATATTTTTCAATCCATATCAGCAGGCAACGAGGCCAATGCTTATCATAAGCGTAAAGCTCAGTATTTTGAGATTAGTGCAGGCTATTTATGACTTTTACTATAGCTCGTTGGTGAGCCGCTGGAGGAATAGGCCAGGACCTACTTTTTCAAAGATGTTTTAGCTTGATTATTTGTTATAGCAAGAGCGAATTGTAGAAGAGGGCGGATTTTTTATTGGCCTTTGATGGAGCAAAGGGTCGATGAAGCCCAGACATACCGCCACCCAAAAGTGGATATCAAAATCAAAAGCTTGCGAAAAATACTGTGTTTAGAGAGAGCAGCGAAATGAAAGATACAGCTTGGGTCCGAAGGAGATGACGCAATTTTCAGTACTTGTAATCCATTGATCATTTGATCCGTTTCATCTCTTTTAGCACGCTATGCCAACTAACGGTTTTCTCATCTGTCAGCCAGCGATGAAGTACCCTGAAAGCATCCGTTCTCCATCCAGCCCATGCGCACCTCAAGCGCACCCGCCCAGACCATGCGCGGCTCGGGCCGGCTCCGATCCGGTCACCATGTCTTGTGACCTTTGGCGCTGGCCGGCCGGCGGCCGCCGAGAATAGCGGCGAGTCGGCCGCGCCGCCGCCAGTCGGTGCTGGAGCAGCAGAGGGTGCACAGTGCGGCACGCGACGCGGCGCGCGGGCACGCGGACGGTGGCGCCGATGACGACTCGCGTCCAGCAGCCGGCGACGGCGGCCGCCGCCGGCGGCGGCATCAAGAGCAAGGCGCCACCGGTGCCGCAGGGACGGCGCGGCGGCTCGCCGGCCGGCCCGGCCAACTCCAACGCCATCCTGAAGGAGGCCGTCGACGCAGTGGTCAGCAGCTTCGCCAAGCACACACAGGGCTACGGCAGAGGTGAGTGGGCGGGACGGACGGCAGGCCCGTGTGGCCGCGGGGATGACCTCGGCTCCCGGTGCTGGGAATGGAGGAACGCGAGACATGTCTCGGCACCTGTACAGCAGACGGCGCCGCGGCCTGGCGCGCCGCACTCAGCGGGCGACTCGGATCTGTGCCACTTCTGCACCTGCCGCGCGGCTGCCGGCGGGCCAAACTCAGACAGCCGGCTCGTCCGGGCCTGGGGCCGAGCTGGTGGGCGTCGGCTCGCCTCGCCTCCTCCGCCGCGAGGCCGCCAGCCGGCCGGCGAGGTACCCGTCGCCGGGTTGGACGGACATCGGCGGCATTCCGCGGCGTCATCCGCCTGCAGCACGGCGGTCGATGTCGACCCGTCAGCCGATGTCGACGTGTCCGATCTTGCGTCCGACCGAGACGCACGAAGGACGCTGCAGCGCGGTGTAATCCTCCGTCGGCTGATCGCTGCAGCGCGGTGTAATCCTCCGTTCGCGGGTCGCTGCAGCGCAGGAATGCCGCGACGGCCGTTTGTTTATTCGACGTGCCGATTGCCAGCCTTCGGGTAACGGCCGCCGGCAGGATCGGGGCGCAGCCGCAGCCCTCGCCGAGACCCCGCCTGCCGCCTGCTGCATCGCAGCCACGGCTGGTCGGCGCGAGTCCGCCGGCGCTCGCCTACTCTGACTCATCCGTCGACTCTGCGGAATGTCCGGATTATCGTCATCGCTTCCGCTGCAGCGGTCTTCGGCACTCAAAGGCAGCTTGCGTCCGGGGTACATAGCTCGCTGGATCTTGACCTCAGCTTCGTATCCAACCCTTGCTTAGGCACAGCTTTACTCGCATGGGATGATTTGAAGCTCTGACTACGGTTGTGCAATTCATCCTGCCACAGGTGGTAGAATCGTTGCAAGATATGCATTGTATCTGCCTACTGAAAACCAATATCCCATGTCATAAAAATTATTTTAAATACGCTTGACCGGGTATGCAGCTGGCTGAAGTTCGAGCCGAATTTGCAAACCACATGCTATGCAAATAAATCTGCACCTCTCAAAACCAGCTGCAACAGGTCACCACGAAGTTATGCCAAGAATTTCAGCTATCTGAGTGATCATGCAGTCGCGGTGCTTCATCTCAGCCAACATAACTCAGCCAACTCAGCTTATTAGCATTGGGTGCCGAATGTATTATGTTTGCACATGCCCCCTCCTATTTGCGTTGCCTAGATTTACATTTCAGTCAATATGTTAGGCAAGCTGGTGTACCGTGCTATGGCAGCCATGCTTTCCATTCTGTGCATGCGAGCACGTCATCCTGAAAAGGATAATATATGATATAGTTCTCTGGTGAGTGAATGTGCTTTTTTATGCAGACTATTTATATTTGTATACGGCACACAATTCAATTGGCATCCGAAATCATCCATCGATTTACTAGTACATGCCGTGAAATGCACAGGAAAGGAAAAAAACGACATGTAAACGATGGCGAATAATAAGAGACTCCCCATTTGATTAGCTTCACACTATCATGTCCCACTCTTCACCCAGTCCAGAATCGTCTCCATTACCAACCGATCCCAAGTTCGGTAGCGGTGTTTCATGGGGTCTGCCAGGCTCTTGCACACATGGGTCGACGCTGCACGGGCCTACTCGCGGCTCCACTTTGTCTCTCCGTGCCTTTTTTGGCCGACTATGGGCCTTCGCTATCAGTTTTCCGGCTGCTGCTATCAATTTAGAGCGCTGCTGACAGTCTAAAGTTCTTGAAACTCCACCAATCGGTCCTCGATGCGTGCGACTCGTTGTCGATCACTACACCTGCTGGGTGCCAAATGCGAGCGCTGCTGGTCACTTGCGTGTGCACGGCCGTATCAGTGACATCACATTTTCCCGGCTGCGGCGGGATCAAAGTGCGGGCTCCATTGATTACGACAAATGAGGGAATCAAGGGGAAAGGACGTTCACGGGTGTCGCATGCCTGACGCCGCCGGCTTTTTATCCCAGCGGGCGAACATCAAGCGGCCAATCAATAGACGATTCATCTCAAAAGCTGAAAAGCCATGGGGCGAAAGGGGACGCTGTATGACACCGACGGTCGCCGGACCGGGCCTGATCGGTCCACCGCATACGGAATGTGTGGATTACGCCTCGCCCCAAGCTAACTACGGCCGACATTGATGAAGCGTTTCGCATTACGGTCCCTCGCGCGCCGCGGCGTCCTTTCTCACGGCTCACGGGCGGGCCCTGCGGCTACTGTGACGGTCTAGTGACGCTCTAGTTCTCATGCGAGGTGCTCAGGATGGCACCGCGCCGTAGTACGCCTCCGATGACGGCGGCTCGGCAGCGGTGGCGAGCGGTGGGCTGGGGATACCGCGATGCTTATCGGGACCTGGCCGCAAAATGTACTCGGTGTCGGTCCAGAGCTTTTTGTTAATGTGGGCTAATTACCGCTTCCGGTCAGGTGCTGGGGGGCCTGTCTCCGGCCGTGGCGAGTGACGGGCCGACGCAATTCCTTCAGTTTGAGATGGTGGACAAAGGACGGTTGCAGTCCGCGTCCGCCGAGCGAGAGTCTGGAGCCGGAAGCGCGGACATCTACGTCCCATCCCTTGCCGCGGAACAGCATGGCGCGCGCTATCGCACCCAAAAAACTCATGAAGCTGAGCAACTTTCTAAAACCTTAACTGTGGCATTGAACCTGCTTTAAGGTCCTGACGCCAATACGTGGTATGATTTGATTTGTGATGCAGACGGCGGTGCCATTCAGCTCAGCTCGTTCAGCCAACGATCGCTGATGACCGGCGTGCATAACTGCGGATGCATGCCAGCAATCGTCAGCCATTTTTCCGGCGTCCTGAACACTCACCAAGGGGTGATTGATGCTCGTGCGACTGAAACCGAATGATGTCCAATGATTATCGCGGTGACCACTAAGCTGACCAAGTGGACGCCATCGGGAGGTGCAGCATTGGATCTTAGGGCGCCCGGAGATGCTTTACGGCGAGTTCTGCACAAGCCAGTACGCATGCTGCTACTTCCAGTCATATACCCAGATATACAGCGGTAAAATCCCGGATGCAGCCAGCCTGGGAAGTTTTTAATGTTTGCAAAGTTGTTGGTACCATTAGAAGCCTTATCTCGCCATCATCACGTCTGGTGCCATCGTACGGATCGCGCAGTGTGCAACCAATCGGATCGAATCACCCCTGCTGCAGCAAAATCCCAAGATAACTCAGGCGTCACGCGAGTGAAGAGTGAACGTCCGCGCTATCTTTATGCAGCGCATTGATCTCGCCGTGTGGTTAGGTATCGTGCTTTGTTGAACTCCCCGGTCCGGTGTCTGGTGTCTCGCATCGTGTTAACATGGAGGCTTCGAGGCGCATTTTCTCGTTTGATCAGTCAGACAAGTGTTCTAAATGCTAGATAGGGTCTAAATATTACCAAGTGTATGTAAACGGCGCAAAAATCTGGGGCCTCCGAGATGACAGCTGATCTTATGTCGTTCCCGAAACCAACCGGGTCTCGGCAATTACATTACGCTGGGCTGCACTTTCGCCATGGAAAAATAATACTGTGAGATGCAATCATGTCTCGTCTTGATGATTATCCAATTGCGCCTTAACTTTTCTTAAGCGCAGCTCACTGCATTAAAAACAAATGTTGTAGGTTTTACGTTCCTTGAAATCACCAAAAACGGTGTGCTCTAATGCCATACAAAGAGACCATTTTACATTGAAATATCTAATGAACTATCATTAATGGCGTAGGACCGGGGTGGTGAGATGGAGAGTAGCTGGCTCACGCTTTTCACAAAGGCCTCACAGTGGCACTATGGAGATTTTGGTAAACATAGACGTAAATATGGTTCTACCTATCTCCCACGTTTCAAACTTTCTTGATTTTTGTGGTGCTGGAAATACTTTAAACCGTTTTATTTTTATCTCGGAAAGCTTTAACTTTACCTTGCAATAAATCCACCGGATATCTCGGTCTGCATCTCATTTCAAGCACCATATCATACACAAACTGCAAACTTGGATGAACTACACCACACGAAGACACCTGGGGAACAACCTGTCCCACTTTCTTCTATCGAACAAGCCATTTTAGATGTTTCGTAACCATAATCCTAGCATGGTTCATGCAACGTGGACTGCCCACTACCGAAGGCTTATGACATCTTGTAAACAACTAAAATGCCAACAAAACAAGGCTAGGAAACAGCGGCAAAGCCGGCTGCCAGCCGATCCTGCGCCCAGGTGGCAGCGGCGTTCCGAAGCGCCGGCAGCATCGCTCCGTGTCAGGCGCCACCCGCCGATCGGCGTCGGCTCACCCCACCCTGCGCTGACCAGCGGCTGGCCGGCCGTTTTTCTGTCGCTTATCACCGGTCGGGCCGCTGACAGGGGACCGGGCGTCCGGTTTGTCGAGCCGGGCGGCGTCGACGGCGGTCTGTGCGCTGCGCCCAGTCGCCGCCGACCGGGGGTCAGTGACCAGGCCGCCGCGCCCGCACCCCAGCGCCGCAGGCGTCAACAGCGCGCCCCGCGGCACCGTAGCATTACGATATGTCATATAATTCAATTCTGCCGGCGAATCTCTGATAAACTGGCCATGACCGGCACCGGCGGCCGGGCGCGCGCGCGCCGGCTAACGGCGCGGCTGCAGCGGCGGCCGTACTTTACGCCGCGGCCCGCGCCGCCCGGCCGTGATACGGAGCAATCGCGAGGGCCGGCCAGCCTGCCGTAAATTTCGGCGCACGGCGCGGCCGGTGTCGGTCTGCAGCGGCCCACCCCCCGCGGCCGCCGCACCGCTCCCTGTCACGAGTCGGACGGTTCGCCCGCAGAAGGTGTTTGCAATAGATTGTTTCCTTCGGGGTCGAGGGGTGCGGCATGCGGTAGTGTGCGCCGGCCGGTTCGACCAGCCGCGACCGGGCGGCCTGCCGCGCCGCGCACTGTGGGTCGGCTAGCGCGCACCGGAGCCACCTGCGCCGGCAAGCGCCGCCTCCAGTGCGCCGCG